GCATTAGAGAAGGTTGCACCTTCAAATTTTTATCATAGTATATAATTTTGATGTAAAATGTTATTAGGATTATTTCAAAATCTATATTTATATCTAATTATGAAATTTTAAATTTAAAAAATAGTTAAAATCAAGTAGATCTATAAACATACAAAAATCTTAAGTATAAACAATCAAATTAGAGCCTACCTTCAAATAATGTCGAGAAATATGGTTTCAATAAGTGTTGGAAAAACCGGCCCATCTAACCGCTAACCGGCCGATTAGATCAAAACCGGCTGGTTAGATCAGAACCGACCAGCAACCGATTCCAGTTTTGATAGTCACCCAATGTTTTATACTTTAAATAGAATAATACTTCACATCCATATTAAATACATGAGAATGGCTTATTGGTAACCTTTGAGGATTGGTTTTTATATAAATCTGGGACCGTATCCCACCATCTCTTTTTAAAAAACCATGAATCTATGAATTTTCATAAGCCATATGCGTTGTTTTCTTTTAAAAAAGCATGTATTACTTAATTGATCACCATTTACTACTTTGTTGATAAAAACACCATTTACTACTCAGTTGATAAAAATCATGAATCCATGAATTGGTTCATAAACCATATGCATTATTTTCTTTTAAAAAATCATGTAATACTTAGTTGATAAAAATAAGAGTTTATATTATATATAACATAATTTCTTTTCATTTTCTTTAAAAAAAAGATCATTTTTTTTAAATCATTTTTATTTAAGAAAAAAATATAAAAAATATCATTTTCTTTAAAAAAGAAAGATCATTTTATTTTTTATTTTTAAAAAAGAGTTGGTCAATTCGATTTTTTTAACACTATTTTAATATTCTTTACATTATGGTAAAGATTAAAAAATACTTGGTTATTAATATTCACTTTTATATTTCACATCTTTTCAAAGAAAATTTAAAATACCCCTAGGCACAAATCTACTCGTTAAAATCTATTTTTTCATTAATTTTCAACTTCATTTGAGTGTATTTTATTTTAATCATATTCTTTATATGTTTTTCATATTTTAATAGATTTTTTTGTATTTTTTTAAATTTGTTTAATATTTTTTAATCGTTCCGGAGTTGTCCGGTTAGAGCGGTTGAATCGACCAGTTTACCGGTTAAGCCGGTTAAATCGCTTCCAGGCACATGTTTGGTTAACCGTTCCGGTTCAATTTTACGAACATTAGTTTCAATACTGAATTATTTTTTATAGCCTTAAAATATATTTCCATCTTTATTTATAAAGTTTAAAGCTTCAAAAATAGTATAGATCGAAAGATCTATGAAAACTTGAAAATATTGAAAATTGATGATAAAAAAATACTTTATAAAATATAATATTTACAAAACTTGAATTCTATTGTCTTTTCATGTCCATGCATCTTGATATTGGAGATGATGAATTTGAAAATATTTAGGCATCAAAATAACTTCTTCTAATGAAATTTTAGAGCTCTACTCTATATAAAATTATAAACTTTTCCCTAAGTATATAAGAGGGGCATTTTCGGGAGCACGAAATCTTTTGGCCATTCCCTCGTTGCATACCAAAGCTTAATCCGTCTGGATAACAAATTTAAAACCACAAAGCCCTATTCCCATCATCTCTCTCATGGCCCATCTAATCAAGTTCCAGTTTGCCCCAAGCTCGTTGCCTTCGATATCTCTCAAGCTTTCTCTCTCTAACAAAGGTTTCTCTCTCTAACCACCACATATTGAGGTATTTGTTTCCTATCCATCTCTAAAGTGATGTTTGCGTATTTCTCTCTCCATGTTTGGATTGTACTGAGTTTTCTGCTTCATCGACGATGTATTTTTCACGACCTTGATCAATAGAAGCGTGGCGCTTCAAAACCAGTGGTTTCCCTTTCTCTTTCTCCTAACCTCTCTCACACACACTTTCTCTCTCTATGTTCTGATTGATGGGATATTTCGGCATTTTTCTTTTCTGTAACTGAAGCATGACAATCACTGCGACATTCCGAAGTTGATAGTTTTTAGTTTCACGCAAGAACACATAGATGTTTGAATTGTACCGATTTTCCTGTTTTATAATTTCTCGCTCTACACAGTTTTACGCATACTGCATCAATTAAAAGCATGACAATTGATTTTTAGTATTCATGCTTTGTTTCTCTTCGCCTTTCTTTTTTTTTCGCATAATGGATCAATTAGAAGCACGACAATTACTGTGACTGTCCCAATTTTCACCTCTCTTTGTGTCCGAAATTTAGAGTTTTTCACCTCTCTTTGTGTCTGAATTGTCCCAATTTTCTGCTTTCTTCTTTCTCTATCTATTCACATTTTTTTTCTTTTTTAGGGTAGAGGTGGGTTTCAGAGCTAGGATGTTGTGCTACAAGCGTTATCACTCTAGCCATCAAGCCAGGTGCATGATTCCCAACTATTTATCTTTCTATCTCACATAAACACAATCTCAATTTTAACTATTTCAAAAGTTCTCATTTTTCTATTGCTGTTGCCTTTCTATTTTCTGTAGATAAGAGGAATTATGACGACTGTTGGATCTGCTCAACCCGTTACATCTCAGACGTTTTCTTCTTATTCTCATCCCACCAAAAACCATCCAAAGAATGGAAACACCATAAGCTATTTCAATGGTAATCAGTTGAGAAGTTTGTCATTAAAAAGGGGAGCTTTGATGTCAAACAGATTCAGAGGGAACCCGAATTACAGTTCTCCAAGTGCTAACTTGTATAAGCAAACTAGCTTTCAAAGAATCAGCGAGGATTTCAACATATGGGGTGGGTTTCGAGAGCATCAAAAGTGGAATAATTCGAGAACGCATGCCAGTGGTTCTCATGACCAGGATAGTGAATCAAAGGCAACCCCAAATGAGAATAATGAGGGGAAAATTGGTTTAAAAAACTCAGAGAACAAAGGGGTAAGTGATAATAAGTCTTCGCGGAGGGAAAAGCATGGGAAAGGAGGGTGGTGGAAAGGAAGGAAATGGCAATGGCAACCAATAATTCAAGCCCAAGAGATTGGTATTCTTCTTTTGCAACTTGGGGTTGTTATGTTTATGATGAGGTTATTGAGGCCAGGGATTCCATTACCAGGTTCTGATCCTCGAGTCCCAACCGCTTACGTAAGTGTTCCTTTTAGTGAGTTCTTGAGCAGAATAAACAATAACCAAGTGAAGAAGGTTGAGGTCGATGGGGTTCACCTCACTTTTCGTTTAAAGGCAGGTGTGGGTACTTTGGACAATGATATTAGTAGTAAGATGCATGAAACCGAGGATTTAGTGAAGACAGCATCACCCACTAAGCGTATAGTGTATACAACTACTCGACCAAGTGACATAAAGACCCCATATGACAAAATGCTGGAGAATGAAGTTGAATTTGGATCCCCTGACAAGCGTAATGGTGGATTTTTTAATTCTGCTATGGTGAGATACCTACAATATATCTCTGAAAAAAGAAAGTAGTTTCCTTTCAGTAGTTCACTTATAGTTCATTGCTTGACTGTTTTCTGCATAGAGAATATCCTCATGCCTCGAAGTAGAGGATTCATAATCTGTTTAGCAGTTTGCTATGGGTAGTTGTAATGCAAGAATATTGAGATGTTTAGTATTTGAGCTTCATTCATGCAGAACTTGATGGATGAAGGGTAGCAGTGTAGAGCATTTTATATCCATCCTGTCCTTGATTTACCATGAAGAATCACAATTGACACTTGTAAAAAATGTGGAGACAAAGCAGATGTTTATGAGGTTTAAACTGAGTTTTCTCCATACATGCAAGCGCAGTAAATTAGCTAACATAAGACTCTGTCGCAAACAATAATATTAGAAATAATTAAAGCTTTTCTTTTTCCTTAGGTGGGTAGGATTTGAACCTTATATATCAATGTTGTGGCCCTTATGTATTGATCAGTGATTAGAAAATCAGTGATTTGGACTCGAACTTGCCCAAGTCACTCGGACCCGGCAGGTCTGGATGGATAACCTAAGAGTCGTGGGGACTCTGAACCAAGTCACTGATTATTTTTCTTTTCTTTTTAAAATAAAAAGGAGACTCTCTGACTTGGCCTAGTCAGCCTCTGACTCAGGCTCAGGACCTTGGCAAGTCCTTGCTGAGTGTGGGCTTTCAATCACTGGCGCTAACCCCCAATCTGAGAGGCCAAATCCGAAAACAACTTTTGGCGTTGAGTTTGTGAGATGCAACTGCAACCAAAGTGATCTGTAGCTTCACACTAGACGATCGAGTTAATTGTAAGAGTAGTCCTGAGCTGTATGTAGCTGAAATGACATGTTTTCACTCATATTTTGATGATATTCATTGGTACTTCATTTTTGTCCCAATCTGAAGTTTACTTGGTGTATCAGTTGTCAGTGAGTGCCTTATGATGCTGTAAAATAGTACATGCGTTCATCTTTGTCCAATTTCTCTCTGTAACTAATCTCTCCAATGTAAAGTGTATTAGTTTCATGCTTGTCATTCTTACAGATTGCACTTTTCTATATTGCTTTGCTTGCGGGTCTCCTCCACCGCTTTCCAGTGAGCTTTTCACAGGTTCGTGATATACTTTTGAGCTTTCCTTTGCCCCTTAGGATGCATTCTGTCGTGTTCTGATGGCTTATGAGGATTGGGTTTATTATGGTTTTCCAGCACACCGCTGGTCAGCTAAGGAGTCGTAAAGGTAGGGGTAATGGTGGATCAAAAACATCTCAAAATGGGGATTCTATCACTTTTGCTGATGTTGCAGGAGTGGATGAAGCTAAGGAAGAACTTGAAGAGATTGTGGTATGATGAATTGATGATTAGACCTTATCTTGAGAGATGCTCTAAAATTTTATTTATTTGTAAATTTTCAAGTTATTGGATCTGTACTTTAAATTAGAATGGTCTTAAATGTAGATTAGACCTTATCTTAAGAGATGCTCTAAAATTTTATTTATTTATAAATTTTCAAGTTCTGGATCTGTACTTTAAACTAGAATTGTCTTAAATGTATTATGTAGGAATTTTTGAGAAATCCAGATCGATATGTCCGACTTGGTGCCCGCCCTCCTCGTGGGGTTCTATTGGTTAGTATGGTGCAAGTTATAGAAATTATCCATGAACATGATAGTACAAACTGCATTATTTTATTGGAAATTGGAATTACAGGTAGGTCTCCCTGGGACTGGTAAGACACTTCTTGCAAAAGCGGTGGCTGGGGAAGCTGATGTTCCCTTCATAAGTTGCTCTGCAAGTGAATTTGTTGAATTGTATGTTGGTATGGGTGCCTCTCGTGTACGAGATCTTTTTGCGAGGGCAAAGAAAGAGGCACCATCAATAATTTTCATTGATGAGGTTTGATATAGAAGGCACAAGAACATGGTATTATTGTCTTGAGAAATTTTAAGACAGAGCCTTAGATACAAGTCCACTCACTTATATTCAAATTTTGTGCAGATTGATGCTGTAGCAAAAAGCCGCGATGGTCGCTTTCGTATTGTGAGCAATGATGAGCGGGAGCAAACCCTGAATCAGTTGCTCACTGTAAGAAGCTTGGTGACTTCTATGGATCTGTTCTCTTTATATATATTGCGCCTCACTTGGAAACTAATTCTTTAAAATTATAAATCCAGGAAATGGATGGCTTTGACAGCAACTCTGCGGTCATTGTCCTTGGAGCAACCAATCGTTCAGATGTTTTGGACCCTGCCCTACGCCGACCTGGGAGATTTGATCGTGTAGTGATGGTTAGTTTTTTTTTTTGGTGGTTTTTTCACTTATGAGTTGGTCTTTATATTACCAAAAACATAACATATTTGCATATATCAGTTTAATGTATTCATTAGCTTATAAGTCGATCTGTATCATAGGTGGAAACTCCCGCCAGGATTGGGAGAGAAGCCATTTTGAAAGTTCATGTTTCTAAGAAGCAGCTTCCTTTAGGGGATGATGTGAATCTAAGTGAAATTGCTGCTGCTACAACTGGTTTTACTGGGTCTGGCTCTTTCCCCATGTTCTTTTTCGGTGATATATATATTTTTTGGTATTAACTTTGTAATATTGGGCATAGCACAGAGCAGACCTTGCAAATTTGGTAAATGAGGCTGCTCTGTTGGCTGGAAGAGTAAACAAGAATGTGGTGGAAAAGATTGATTTTATGCAAGCAGTGGAACGCTCAATAGCTGTAAGTCTGCATCCCCCTTTCATATTTCTTCGTGATCCTCATGCAATGCTCATATCCTACTTCCGTCATCTGAGATGTTATCCATGCTCTTATCGGCCCGATTTCATACTTCTAAAGGTTGGTCATTCTTATGGATATCATTTTGTTTCCTGGAAGGCTTTGAACTTGCATTGATAAGGCACCTAGAGCCTTCATGCAAAGTTTGTATTGTTTGTCACAAACTCAAGTTGATAAATGATTCTAATTGTTGAGTTTGTGACTTTGTGGTCACACTTGAAAACCTAGCCTTGGTACTTAAGTTGGTTTCCTATGTCCTATTGTGAAGTTTTAACTTCTGCCTGTGTCAGTCTTTAGGTTGTATAAACAGGTCTGATCTGCACCAGTATTTGCCTTTGGAGAGTTTACTGGTTTTCTCAGTGAGCAGGCTAATTGGCATTCAGTAACCTGTTATTTGTTCTTTTGCTCCATATACTAGTTCTTGTGCGACAGATTATTGACTGGAAGAATTTAATTTTTTTATTGCATATTGAATTTGCTCTTGCTACATCCCAGTTTTGTTGGTTGTCAGGCTTGTATTTTATCCAAATTTTGCACTGATGCAAACGTACAGGGTTATTTTGAACTTGAATTTCTGGCCTAGTTATATTAATTTTTATCATGTTTACTTCCTCCTATGCATTGGTGCACCTCATGAAGGTATCATTCTTTTCGCACAATCGCTTTTTGTGTTAAAATGCATCTTGATTAATTCACATCTCTCTCTCTCTCTCTCTCTCTCTCTCTCTCTCTGCCATGTTCATCAACTTCAGGGTCTTTGCCGGTGATAGAGTTCTTACATTGACAAATCCTATGCTATATACTCACATGATTTATGCTTCCTCATGAAGACTTTCTATCTTATACATTGTAGGCCATGGCTTTTTTTGGGGTAATTTAACACTTTCCAACATATATAAATGGGATTGCTGGTTTTTGCTTTGGCATTTCTATTTCTATATGCTTTTAATTTTTGTGTGATTATGTATTTTTTGTTTGACTAAATGGACATGTGGCCATAATATATAGGGCATAGAAAAGAAACATGCAAAGTTGCAAGGAAGTGAGAAAGGTGTTGTTGCACGACATGAAGCAGGGCATGCGGTCGTGGGAACAGCTATTGCTAACCTACTCCCCGGACAACCACGTGTAGAGGTATGCCATACTGACAATAATGGCATGAGGTTGATTCCATATTTTTGCTATTGACTTTTCAAAGAAGGGGCATTGTACATAATCCAATGGAGTATGTCGTACCTTGCTGCTAAATGGGTTCCTTTTTGGCTTATAAGTCCATTGGATTACGACATATTAGACTCAAGTACAATGTTGTAGCATTGATTGAGCCTTGCTCTCCTTCAGATTCTACCTTTTCCTGGTGGGAATGGGCAGGCTGCTTAATCTGTGATTGCTCTTTTGGCTTCCCTTGGTATACATACCAGAGAAAGGTTCAGTTGATGTTCAGAGTGAAAGATTATTATATTCCAATGGACTAAGCAGATTTCACAATCCATTGTTATCACCATCCCTTGATGGATGTGATGGATAGGGAGTGTGACAACCAGCACATGACACAACCCCGTTGGTAGAACATGTCCTCACGCAATCCATCATTTTAATGGATGTTAGGAAACAAGTTGACTGGTTTTTCAAACGTCCATTGAGTATAATATATGCCTTGTTCATTATTATATAAACCTCAATTGTTGTTACCTTCTCATGGTTTCTCCTTTTTCAATGGGTCAGAAACTGAGCATACTGCCCAGGTCAGGAGGGGCCTTGGGATTCACATATATTCCTCCTACAACTGAGGATCGATATTTATTATTCATTGACGAACTGCGTGGTCGCTTAGTAACTCTCCTTGGAGGAAGAGCAGCAGAAGAAGTTATTTATTCGGGACGGGTGTCTACTGGTGCACTCGATGATATTAAGCGGGCAACTGATATGGCATATAAAGCGGTGGCTGAATATGGCCTTAATCAAAGCATTGGTCCAGTTTCTCTGGCAACTTTATCAGGAGGCGGGCTCGATGAGTCTGGAGGAGTGGGTCCTTGGGGAAGAGATCAGGTATGATTTGTGAAACAAATCTGTATCACAATGTAAAATTTGTCTTAATTTTGGATGAACTCTGTAGGGTTTGACTTAATTTCAGAGTTGGTCTTTGGCTGACATAGAAATGGATGAAATGTGTAATATGCAATACGGCTTCTGTTATACATTTAGATTTTTGATGAAAACCATTGAATGCAGTCTGAATTTTGTGTAAAATTCTAAAGGATAAGGAAAATCATGTTGAGGATTTTTTTTTTCCTTTGTAGTTCTTTGGATGTGGTCCAGATTTTGCCTAAATTTCAGGACATATTGAAAATTTGAAGACTACATTGTCCATAATTGGAAGAAAAGTTTGCAAAGCATTGGGAGGTTTCTTTATGGGTGTGTTTTTGGTGTTTCTTCTGAAACACATTCCCTACACGCTCTAATGGGGTCGGCTTTGATTAATTTTTATTCTAGCCAAATTTGTGTGGGAAATCTGAGATTGTGAACCTGGCTCTACTATGTTTGTGTTTGGATTAGCAAAAGGCTGATACTGGATGGAATCTTGCAGGGGCATTTGGTTGATCTTGTTCAAAGAGAGGTCAGAGCGCTTTTGCAATCTGCACTTGAAGTTGCACTTTCTGTTGTACGTGCTAATCCTACAGTGTTGGAAGGGCTTGGTGCTCAATTGGAAGGTCAGAAGATTGGTATTATGTCTGCTCGACATTTTTTTGAAGTTGTTATAACTTTGTTGTTGTGGTTTTAGATAAGGGAAAGTCTAAAACCGGAACTAGTTTTGAAAAATATCGCAATGATAACTTTTTGCAAACCACTTAAAAAGTAGCTCTAGATTTGAAAAGCAGGAATCTTTATCTTGTACGGAAATAATGATGATATAAAGGGGGCTGAAGAGATGCATGTCTTCATCCATCTTCTCTACCGAATGCCAAAATGCATCCTTTCAGTAAATTTTCTAAATTGACTTGATTGAATGTTCAATCCATGTGTCGTATGATTTTATCATGTGTACCTCACAATACAAACCATACTGTGCATCTCGTTCTTGTGTCTCATGCCCATACATTGCTAGGTAGTAAGAGCCTCCTCATAGGGATGTCTTCTGATATCCCCAATGTTAGAGAATTCCATAGGCAGTGCCTAGGTGCTGAGAGTTCTGGGCCGCCTACGGGCCTAAAGATGTGGGTGCCAAAATGGTTTATTTTCTTTCAGGGTTTGGTTAAATACCAAAACCCCCCTGGATATGAGTTACAAACTTATATTACAGTTATAAAAGCTAAAAAAGAAAAAAAGAAAAAAAGAAAAAAAGAAAAAAAGAAAAAAGAAAAGCAAACATGCTTCCAGTGACCCAATGTTTGATAAAATGATAAAAATATTAAAGTTTCGAGTCTGAACAAAAAGCATCCAATGTTTCAACTTTCAAACAAGCACGATGAACTAAATAAGTCACAATCCATAAAGGTAACTGAGTTTCATCAATCATCATCTCGCTATATCTTGGCCCCTTCCACCACCAGATGCATCTGAATCTGATTACGCTAGGCCGTCATCATCAGAGACTCAGAGTCATCCTCTTCCTCCACATACTGCTTATCTTCCTGTGTCCCTTCTGAATCTGCCTCTTCCTCATCTAATAATGTCATGGGCTTCTTCTCGCTTGATTGTGATCTTCTGGCTTGTGAAGGGCTTTGGGATAAACCTGCAGCTTCTTGAATTTGGCTTCAGGTTAAGTCCTCTCTAAGGAAGACTTCGTGATCATCTTCATTATCTACCGTGCAATCACTGTTATCATCCATGTGCTTGAGCTCAATGGGGTCAATTTCATATCTCTCCATGTAACGCTCCTTCGACTTTTGGTTGAATTGCACATACACGTGGTTATTCATCTTTTTCTTTTCTAGCCTATTCCTCTTCTATGTATGCACCTTTGTCAATTGTCAAATATTTGATACTTTGAAATATGTACTCTTAGTATCTAAATACAATACGTTATGTTAAAAAATGCAAAGTTGATGTAAAAATTCCAAAGTTAGTATGTAGTAATCTACCATTTCGGATGAGCTGAAGTTGCACTCGCAATGAGCTACAAGTCAAGTTAAGAATGCGGGTAGCCATCTGTCGTAGGTCATGGGTTGATCCACCATAACTTTGCCCACCATGAAGCTAGAAAATAGATAAAAAACAGAATGAGAATAGGACTTGAAACTCAGAGAAAACTTGAACATAGAGATTAGAGAATACTTTTAAGAATTTGATCATTAAATCTTACTTGCAAAAATCTGTCCTTTGCCTAACTGCCAATTCTGAGCTAAGTGACCCTTCAGATAACCTATACTTTTCGAGATCAGTAGAGACTCTATCTTGTACATCTGGTATGAGACTCATGGTGCACTGATATATCGCTGCCATGAAGCAATTCCAAGTCCGCACTTCTTGGTCAGCATAGAAGTATTTAGGGTTAAGAAAATACCCTGGAAGAGGCAAGGGCCTCTCCTCTCCAAGTGCTTATCCCACTTGTGACTTGTCATCCATTATTTTCGAGAATGGGGCATACCCATCTGCTTCATTGTTTAATTTAATCTTTATCTCCTCTGTGGCTATCTTCACTGCCTTATAAATATACCCCATGGGTGGTTCCTTTTCCCTATCCACCATTCTCAGCACTTCCACAAATGGGCCCATGGCAGCAATGGCGAATTTGACTAATATTTACAACCTTAGTCAACATTTCTCAAAAAAATAGTATTTACAACCTCCTTCCTCTTACTAGTTTTGGACCACTTGCTTTTGGTCCATTCCTCTGAAACAAACATTTTTCTGAGCTTTAATGTTTTGGCTCTGAGTAGAGTGTAGGCAAAGAAATGCAGTGGCAAATCTTGTAGTCCCAAGCCTAAGCAACTCCTTCTTGTCTGTGTATTTCCTCATGAGGGCCAATACCTATTTACATAAGCATAAAGAACACTAAGTTAGTAACTTATTAGTAGCTTATTACTTAGTAATTTAATATTATGAAAAAAAAAAAAACTAGTTGTAAAATGTAATGTGAAAAGATATAATTGACTTATCCAGGTATGGCTATATCTGAACACCAATACTTTCCTTACTTCGATGAGGGTATTTTGAATTGTGCTCTTCTTTGCAAAGGCCTCAAGCATAAGGTCAATACAATGTGCTGCGAATGGTGTCCAAAAAGTATGGGTACATGCGCACGGCGCACTTGTGCACCATACGATTTGCCCCACGTTCCCCCAAACACGTGCGAAAGAAGTGCCACTAAATTGCCCTCCGTACGAAGTTTTGGATACATGTGCAAACCGTGCCGGTTTTTTGCACGCAATTATGGCAGCTTGTGCACACTTGTGCACCATACGATTTGCCCCACGTTCCCCAAACACGTGTGGCCTCTTGCTTATCAATAAACAACATGCAACCAAATCCGTGACTACTTGAACCACATACTCTTCCCCCACCTCATCTATAATCTTATCCGCAGCTTCAAAAATGAATTATGCATCATGAACCTTATCAGATGCATCTATAGAGCTAAGGAACATGTCCGTAAGGGACAATTACCCATAAAGTTCATAATATTGTGGCTCTTTCTGTCACTCCATAAATCTGTCATTATTGTCACCCTTTATGTCCCCCATTTGTCCTTATGTGTCTTCATGTACATATTTGTAATCGCGAGTTCCTTTTTTAGCAAGGGACCTTCAACTCATATAGACTTGGGGCTTATACCCAAGCCCATACTGATGGATAGCCTCACACTTGACTTGGAAGCTCTTACAAGTGATTGCATTGAATGGAATTCCATTCTTATGAAACCATCAAAGCCACATACTGAGACTCTCTAATCCCTATTCTCCTCCTTAAAGTGTGATGCCGGGAGAAAAAATAATTATAATAAAAATAAAACAATGGGTGAGAGACTATACCCTCTCTCAAGGTTTGCAAGGGAATCCACCCCCAACGAGAGAATATACCCTCTCTCAGGATCTGCAAGGGGAATCCACCCCATAAACAGTCTTTTCACAAGACCAAATTTTACTCAATTTTAATCTCTGATCCTTTACAATGAAGGGACATCTCCCTTTAAATAGACTTTGAGAAAAAAAAAAAAAAACACTCTATCTCGCGTACCATCTCTCTCCCTATTTTCTTTCTTACAAAAATATCATCTCTAGATCTCTCTCCCTATTTTCTCTCTCATGAAAATATCATCTCTCTTAAAAGTTACGCACCATATTTGTCAATCTATATCTTCCCCATATCTAACTCCCTTATCTTTCTCCTATTTAAATATCCTTTAAATCTCTCACTAAATCTAACTAAATCTTTTAAGCAACTTTAACATAAGATAAGCTTAAAAAAAAACTAATTCACACCAAGATTTACCTTTCCTAAAAACTCAGGCTACCTATTCCTAAAAATCTGCATCAAAGTGCCTCTCAATGGTTGTTTGGCCCTTCTCTCTCCAACAACCTCAGGGTTAGGAGGGGGGAAGAAAGAATCTATAGGCCCCCTTGTTTTGGACCTCTTATACCCAAAACCTCCTTCTTGCCTAGTACTAGGGCCCTCAGCAGCAGGTACATCATCATCCACCTCTACTCCAAAAATATTAACGGTCTTGAGGAGATCAGAGTCTTTCTTTGAGGCTTGTTCTTTCGTTTTCCTTACCCTCTCTAGATAGTCTACAATTTCTTGCTTTTCAGATTGGTGTACTTGTTTACATGAGGCCACATCCCCTTTAATGCTGGCTAATTGTTTCTTTAACCAATTAATACCAGCATTGTAACAATTATTGCAAAGCACTTTATCTTTATCCTTCGGGTGGAGACAAAAACCATACTTCCAACATGGATCTGAGCTTTTATTTTAGGGAGAGAATTATGTTTTATTTGGTTAGGTTTAATGAATTTTGGGCTGCAAATCGTAATTCAATTTTGTAAAAAAAATTAAAAAACATCAAAACCATACCAACTCTCATTCTAAAGATGAAGCAAAACACAAATACTACAAAAAGAAAAAGAAAAGGAAAATAAGTTTAAAAATCTCATGAAACTGTAATCCAAAACTTGAAAATCTCTAACCTTTAAAGCAGAGTCCTTCAAGCTTTGAAAGGGGGAGCTTTGGTTGCCAAAGTCCTCTTCTCAAAACCACTTCAAGCCCCAAAAAGATAGGGCGCAAATACCTTTTGATTCGCAAGAAATTCAAAATTTTGTATTTTTGGTTGGTCTTCGATTTCTCATAAAAAATCGGGATTTGGGAGTTTTTTTTGCTCTAAATTTGCTCTAGTAGTGTTTTTGGGGGAATAAAAAAAAAAAAAAGAGGGGCAAAATGATGGAAATTGCCTCTACCCGAGGGGCATTTCCACCCCACTTTCCTAATTATCGTGGGGTGCCTAGGCATTCCGCCTGAGGGGCCCACCTAGGCACCCGCCTCGTGACATATGCCCCATGCCCTCCTGACTAGCCTGGGCAGGCGAATTTTTCAACATTGGGAATCCCATCAATCAAAATTCGCCAACAAAGAGGTGCAATGGTTCATGACTCTTCCCCCAAGCCTCATCCACATGACCTTAACAATAGCAACTATTTTATATAGACTACCCACTTGAATGGTATTTAATTGTGTATGGGACTTAGACGTTCACATGGAGATTATTCTTCAGAAATTTGGGACTTGCCATCCACGTTGGGGGTTTAAGAGTTTTGGGAGGGGCATTAAGGCTATAGAAAGCAGAAGGCTACTAGCTTTGTGATAGGGGCTTGCACGTGGACGTAAGTTCTCTAGGAAATCAAATGACTTAGGCATTCACTATGAAAAAAAAGAACAATATTTTACAGGCATATCCACTAGCTGGTGTAAGAATAAGACAAAAGCAGTGTGGAACTGTGAAACCCACAGGTGGTAAAGTGCGCAATTACACCATGCTTTTTTTTACAGAAAATGTACTTTTACCACTTTCTGATAGTCCTGGTACAATGTCCCTCAGGAACTTTCCAGTGTTAGCACTCTTATCTTATTCCACTTGAAGAACTACATTTGGCACCTCTCCTGCCACAAACCAGATATTGGAGTAAACAAATCCCACCCATCTAAGCTAGAGATCACTGCCTCTCCTCCATTATGTGCAGCCTCTCAAGGAAACTCTGTGACTTCTTTAAAATCTTGGGTTCCACAAGATTGGCTATGTGTCTATACCCACCTTTTACCATCCAATTTATGCATCTGATGTCTATTAGCCATCCCATGAAGGAACCGTGTCCAACAAATGTTTTCTTTCTTCAGAGTATCTCAGACATTGCTGAGCAGGGTTTTTAGACTCGGCCGATGTGACTCGGAATCGGCCGAGTTACTTGGCTTAGGCCTATGGGTGAGGCCGAGTACCCCTGAGTACCATGTTCCGATTTTCTATATATTTTATTATTTGCGACTTTACATAACCTGCTTCTAAGTGGCCTTTTAGCCATCATATGCGGCACCACAACCTCACGTCCTCCATTCGAGGCCCTCCCAGGCACGAACTATTTTTAAATTAAAAAAATAGACATCTTTTGTAATTTATTAAAAAAAGGCAACGTACTGTACTAACATGTAAGGGGCAGGAATTGAGGCCTTGACCTCTTGTAAAGACACCCCCCACATCTTTCCAGCGCGATACTTGTAAATTATTGTTAAGATTAGGCATTTTATTATATATAAACTTTATTTATACTCATTATTCTCTTTTTTTTAACATGACCTGAACTCACCCGAGTTACTCGGACTTGGCCGAGGAACTCACCTCGGCCAGGGTCCAAGTACCTTGGCCGAGTCGATTTTTTTAACATTGTTGCTGAGTTTGGCTCCTCCACATCTGTCTTCTTTCAACAGTGAAGTTATCTTTTTGTTGCCTCCAATTCAGAAATCTCTTAAAAGTATCTTCTCTTTCTGTATCCCAAATCTCCAAAACTCTCCTTCTTATCACTCCTTGCCCTTCCCATTCTCTCGGAGGACCTTTTTGGCAAGCCAATACCCTTCCCGCCCGCCAGATCGGATTATGTGATATATATTTCTTATCCTTAAACCTTGCCATCCTGCCACTACTCTTGAATCTAAATGGCTCTAACTTCACATGCTACAGCTCTAAATATTACTCTAAATTTTCTTTAGAAGAGCAGAGGCACGTACTTCAGCTGTTGATATTTGTTATATAGCTAAGAAGAAGAAAGGTGGCCTGAGGATTGATGTCCTCGGAGAGGTGAATAGGGAAAAGCTTAGCAAATGGCACTAGGAATTTTGGAGAGAAAGTTGAGGCACTTTAGAAATTATTTAATAGCTGTTTTAGACATAGAAATTGTAATGGGGATGAATAACGAAAAAACAAAGAAGAAAGAGAGATAGTAATGAGAGTGGGCTGGAAGAGTGTGGAATGTGGAAAGGTCCAATAAGATGCTAGTTTTTGGATTAGCATTAGTAGTGCTTGTTTGGTGTTTAACAAGGGCTTCATATGCGAGATTGTGATTGTCATAGAATCAGGTTTTGGGATGATACTTGATAGTGGAATGAGGCTTCTAAGTGAGCTTTCAAGACCGACTGAATTGGTTTGGTACATATATGACAGGTCAGATATTGTTTTCGCCACGTGATGGGCGGAGTTCTATGTTATCTTATATAGAAGGGACATTAAGGCTGAGGAGATTTGTGAGATTAGCAAGCTGCTATCTGTTTTGAAGGGGTCTTCACCTTTAGAATAGGGTCTAACGGGAGAATTGGCACTCTACATTAGGATTCCTATACATAAAAGTCCTTTCTCTGTTCTTTACATATATTGGGCTTTAGCATGGTTGAGTGTTATTTGTGAATGTGGTTAGTGTTATTTGGTGAATTCTATACTATATGCAAGCACAAAGCACATGAGTTTTGGAGGATGAAAGAACATATTTGAGAAGATTTCTTATATTACTCACTTGTTGGAAAGTGTTGCTAATGAGAGCTCTGACTCCTTGGTTGGAGATTGGTTGGTTAGAGATGAGTTAATTATAACTAACCGTGGGGAATTCCATCCTTGCCTTCAGAGGAATACCTCATGCATGACGTACGATACAATATTAAGTAGAATTTTCTTGTCCATAAACCCTGGTGCACACCTGCATTTATCCTTAATTAAACACTAGTGCCTACAGAGACTAATTAGGTAAAAACGACATCTTCTCCATTTTGATAGCATTGAGTCTTATACCGCTCTTTAATATATCAATGTTATATCTATGCGGTGCACCAAAAGGCGCCTGCCTCCATTATGCTGGAGATTTAACTGTAATGGGACCAATGTTCAATAAGTCGGAGGTTGCGGCCTAGGCGGGCGCCGAGACCCAAAAACAGTCGGTGATTTTTTTTTAAAAAAAATTGGATCCCCCACACCTCCCCCGATTTTATTATATATAAAATTGTTTGTTTTATTATTTAATAAGTAAGTTTTGTATGTAATATATTGTTAAGATGCCGGAAGCACAAATCAAATCTAAACATTTACAACTTTAGACTGTAAATGAAATAATTATAACTCAAAATCAACATTAAAAGATAAATGAACTCGAGATGTCATTTAAATCTTGCAAATTGTAAGTCACTCACAAGTCACAAAAGTTTCAAAAGTCATTAGCAATAAGTCATATGAACTCATTTCCAACTAACAAAGGCCACAAACTACAATAAGTCTTGAAGTGGACTCGATTTTGGGCCAAACCGAAATATACCAACCTAATGAAAACTAGTGAAATATACCAACCTTCTTGAAGTGGACTCAATTTCGGGCCAAACCGAAATGTTTGGGATCTCAAATCTCCTATTTTACAACCCCCTATAAGCCTCAAAAAGATTGGAGTTGATTATCCTTTAATATCGTGACCATTCGATGATTTAAAAAAAAAAAGATCTCTCAAAAAATCTTCAAATCTAGATTTTTTCAAGTTGTTTCTCACTCTAAAGTTCACTAAAATTATTTTTAGGGGCAAGAATGGCCCTGCCCAAACCCTTATCCCCCCTTTTATGGGGGTAAATGACTTTTTTTGCCCCCTTGCAAAAACATTTTCCGCCATACTCCTGTATGCTGCCTAGGCAGGCACCTTTTTTCGCCTTTTCGATTGCCCGACCGCCTAGGCGGGCGCCTAGTTCTGGCGCCTAATAGTGACCGCCTTAAGAAGGCTAGGCAGTCGGGCGGATGACTTTTTGAACATTAAATGGGACCCATTGGATATAACTGATCTCCATCGTGCATCATTCGAGAAGGATGGGAATGCTCATTCGTTATGCTATATTGATGTATGTCATACTTAATTTGCTGCGCGACACCTTAATTTACACCTGATTTTCCTTGTGAACAGAGAAAGAAAAAGTGGAGGGCGAGGAATTAAGGGAGTGGTTAAAGATGGTCGTCTCCCCTGTAGAGTTGTCTCTTTTCATCAAAGGGAACAATGAGTATGTTCTTCCACTCACGACAAGCTCTTAACAGGTATCTGTCTCATCCATGTAAAAGTGATGTTATTGCCCTTGAAGGTAGGGTTCTCCCCTTGCAGATCCATGCATGCTCTGTATAGAACAAGTTATGCGAAAAACTGCGCCTGACGAAAAAGGAGAAGGAAATCTTAATTCTTGGTCTTCCATGAATTAGAAATATGGATTAACTTATTTGTCATGGGACTTTGTTGGGTTTTCATCTGTGATTTTCTGAGGTGAGAGAGAGAGAGAGAGAGAGAGAGAGAGAGAGAGAGAGAGAGAAGAAGAGAGAGTAGTAGTAGTAGAATACGAGGAGGACGTACGTAGTTACGTAGTAGTAATAGTAGAGTAAGTAAGTAACGAAGGAAGGTAAGGGTTCGGTT